ATGTTCAGAATATATAGAGAACTTGCTGAGCAGCTACTCTGGAGGCTGAGGTAGGAGGATCACAAATCTGGGCAACTTAGTGAAACACTATATATATATATATTTCAAAAAAAATATATATATAGGGCTGGAGGGGATGTTCAGTGGTAGAGTGCCTCTGGATTCAATCCCCAGTACTGAAAAAAGAAGAAAAAATAAAAACTCAAAAGACTTAACAATTAAAAACAATCCAACATAGAATGGGCAACTAATCTCAATGGATACTTTTCAAAGGAAAATACAAATGGCCAACAATATATCAAAAAAATGCTCAAGATCATTACTCAACAGGAAAATCAAAACTACAATGAGATGCCATCTCACCCAGTTAGAATGACTATTACAAAAACAAACAAATGCTAGTAAGGATTTGGAGATAATGGAACTCCTGTATACTGTTGATGGGAATGTAAATTAGTATGGACATTATTGAGAACAGTATGGAGGTTTATCAAAAAACTAGAAACGGAACTACCAAATGATCCAGGAAGAAGTATGGAGATTCCTCAGAAAACTTAGAATGGAACCACCATTTGACCCAGTTATCCCACTCCTTGGTCTATACCCTTAAGACTTAAAAACAGCATACTACAAGGACACAGCCACTTCAATGTTTATAGCAGCACAATTCACAATAGGTAAACTGTTGATCCCACCTAGATGCCTTTCAATAGATGAATGAACAAAGAAACTGTGGTACATATATACAATGGAATATTACTCAGCATTAAAAGAGAATACAATTATGGCATTTCCATGTAATTGGATAGAGTTTGAATATCATCCTAAGTGAAGTAAGCCAATTCCTTGAATATGCCATCCTCCTGCCTCAGCCTCCCAATTTGCTGGTATTACAGGTGTGTGCCACCATGCCCAGTTTTCATCAACACACTTCAATTTCTCATCAGAAAACACAGAAGCCAAAGCCAGGTGCAGTGGTACACACCTGTAATCCCAGCTATTCAGGAGCATAAGGCAGGAGGATCAGAAGTTCAAGGCCAGCCAGGGCACTTTAGTGAGTCTCAAAAATTTTTTTAAAAGGCTAGGGATGTAGCTCACTGGTAGAGTACTCCTGGGTAAAATCCCTACTAATACACACACAAAAAAAAAAAAAGGCAGGAGCTGTAGCTCAGTGGCAGAGCACTTGTCTGGCACATGTGAGGCACTGAGTTCAATCCTTAGCACCACATAAAAATACACAAATAAAATAAAGGCATGCTGTCCATCTAAGAATAAAATAAAATAAAAATAAATAAGTAAATTTTTTAAAAAGCAGAAAGAAAATCTAGAGGCCAGAGAGAGGGAGCAAAATAAAAGTGATAAAATTTTTAAAAGGCCAACCAAGAATTGTTTTAACCAGCAAAAATGTACTTTAGGCATGAAGGGGAAATCAAGACACTCTTTAAATGAAGGAACACTAAGAAAATTTGTTACCAGCAGACCTACTTTGCAAGAATGGCTAAAGGAAGCCAGGCATCATGGCACATACCTATAGTCCCAGCTACTAGAGACTGAGGCAGGCTTGAGGCCAATCTGGGCAAGTTAGCAAGACCTCATCTCAAAAAATAAAAAGGGCTTGGGACGTAACTCAGTGGTAAAACACCTTTGGGTTCAATCCTCAGTAACAAAAACAAATATATATACACATACATACACACACATACACACAAACTGGACTTCAAAATTAAAATTAAAAGCAATTTACAGGGCTGTGGTTGTGGCTCAGAGGTAGAGTGTTCACCTAGCATGTGTGAGGCACTGGGTTCAATACTCAGCACCACATAAAAATAAAATAAAGGTATCATGTCCACCTACAAATAAAAAATAAATATTAAAAAAAAGTCATGTACAAAAGACCCCATTAGGAGGGCAAAAAAAGATAATGATGAGCTACAGACTGGGAGAAAATATTTGTAAACCACATATCTGACAAAAGACTTAAGTATGAAAGTGAAGCCAGAATTAGACAGGCAGTCAGTGTAGATAGGTAAACTGAGTCAGGTCAGATCAAGCAGGCCAATTTTGAGTGAGTCTGGGAAGTTGGAGACTGTCCTCTGAGGCATCTTATCAAGAACCTGCCCCAGCTCCAACCTCTTGCCAAGGCAACCTGTCCCAGGAATTTCCCCTCCCTACAGGGAGCTATAAAGTTGTTAATGTGTCCTTGGCTACTCCATCCTGCCCTTCCCCCTTCAGCCCACCTGTTTCCCACCTTTTGGCCTTCCCACCAAGCCTTTACTGGGCCTAGTCACATATGCAGGAAGGAGAAAAGATAAGGGGGAAAAGGCAGGAGAACAAAGGAAGCCGAAGCCCTAGGACATATAAAAAGGGTAGAACACCTCTCCTCTTGGGATACCAGGATACCAGCTATGGCCCCCCTTCTCCCTCTGGGGAGGGGAGAAGTCTATGATACCAATTTTTAAATAAACCCTGCTTCATATGCTTGCCTTGGCATGATTCTCTAATATTCAAACTTCAACATGTGGGAAGCAGAACTGTCAAAAGGAACTCTCAAAACTCAACAGTTAAAAAAAATCTAATTAGAAATGAACAAAGGATGTGGAGAGGGAGCTGGGGTTGTGCCTCAGTGGTAGAGCATTTGCCTAGCATATTTAGGCACTGGGTTCAATGATAAACATAAACAAATAAAAAGGTGTTTTGTCCATCTACAACTAGAAATTTTTTTAAAAAAGGATGTGGAGAGATATTTCACCAAAGAGAATAAAGAGATGATAAAAAAGCATATGACAAGATATTGTACATCATTGGCCATCAAAAATACACACTCATCTGATTCTTAGTCATTTCTTCTTCTGAGGAAAAGACAAATTCAGAGATCTGTTAAGTCAGAGCTGAGGGAGGTCTGGGACTATGAGACTGTATGGAAAGGAGAAATAATACAAATGGAGATAAGAGAGATAAAGTTGATCTCAGGTTTCTGGCTGGTGATAGTTCAGCTGTGTCTCTCACATCTCCCTAAAGGATCAAACTAAAAGTGTCTTCTCATAAGAAGGGGAAGCTAACAGGTCACCAGTGCAAGCCAGAGAGACCCACTTGGTTACAGCCCTAGCCTCTGTAGTGCTGACTGACCTGATCCTAAAGAAGTGGGATTGGCAGAACACTTTGCCTCTTGGGATGCCAGGATACCAAGAGATTTTCTGTAAAAGGCCAGGTAGTAAATATTTTAGAATTTCCAGAACATTTGCTCTTTGACAACTATTCAACTTTGCCACTGTAGCATGAAAACAGTCACAGAGAGTATGCAAACAAATGGGTGTGGCTGTGACCCAATAAAACTTTATTGTTAGACACTGAAATTTGAATTTCATATAATTTTCAGGCTTGCTGACCCCTGATGTACAGCTTAGATAAGGAAGTTTTAAGGCAGTGTGCATACAGTAATCATTTAATACTAGATTTACAATGCAGTGACCTTCCTTAGATCCATAAATTCTACTTAGAAATTTATCACCATGAAACAATCATAGTTGCACACAAAAATCTGAAAACAAAGACTGTTATCTGAGCCTAGATAATAAAAAATTTTTAAAGTTGGACACATTTAAATTTCCAATAAAGGGAAGTGACTCAAACATCTGAGGCCATCTGAAGGATAAAATACTATGCATCTGTGTCAACAATTATTATGTGATCTTGTGATGGATGGCAAAACCAGATCTGGTTATGAAATGAAATCATAAGAATACTATCATCGGCTGGGATTTGGTAGAGGCTTGCCTAGCACGTGTGAGGCACTGGGTTCAATTCTCAGCACTGCAAATAAATAAGTAAAATAAAAGTCCATTGACAACTTAAAAAAGTATTTAAAAAACACTATCATGAAAAACTAGTGCGTGGGGAAAGGGTGAGTTCCCCTACCCTTTCTTTCAGCCCTCCTTCAGGAAACCTAAGTAAGCATAGGCCCCTACCTTTTGGGTTGTAAATAACTACCTCTAGGAATTTAACAACTCCCCATGGAAGTATAAACACCCTTATTGAGGCTTGGAGCATAAGGCTAGAGATTTATCAGAGGCCTGTGAGAAGAATCAGTTTTTCTCCTTATTGTACTCTGCTTCTACAAACATGCTTCCTACTAGAAACTCACAGCCTTCTATCATGTGGACTAGAAATTATATGGCACAGAAAGCCTATAAATGTTGTGAAAAACTGGGGATGGGGGCTCAGAATTTGGAGTTTGATCTTGTCTGGGCCCACCAGCGTAAAAAAACAAAATTCGGCCTGTATTAGATATGGAAAACAACAAACCCCAAAATAATTATACATAAGAAAAAAAGGAGTGAGAAAGTCATAAATTAGGAGCATTGATCCTTTTCTAGTACATTCTTTCCCAATGATAAAACAAACCCTGGGGAGGAGGAGTCCATCAAACCTAAAAGGGCAGTCTCTGGGAAAGGACTAAAGCATTAAATCCTTCCCTAAACAAACCCTTTCCAGATACCAACTACTGACCCCAAGCCCTCCATCTGGCCCAGTAAGATAAATCCCAGAGACTGACTACTGAGGCCACACTCCTTCCCATTTCGCCTAGTAAAACAGACCCCCAAAAACTGACTGCCCAAGCTGACACACTCATTAATTCACTTCTCAGGATAACCTACATATGCCCAGTCCCTTTCTTTGTTCAGTGGCTCATTTTCCACAAAGAGAGTGGGTTCATCAGAACCATACTCACCACCATCAGAACCATGATTCCATTTCTGAATAAAAGAACTGAGCTGATTTGTGAAGTTTGCATCCATCCTGGTCTTTCTGCACTAATAGCTGGGAGTGGTGGTGCACACCTGTAATCCCAGCAGCTTGGGAGGCCAAGGCAGGAGGATCAAGAGTTCAAAGCCAGCCTCAGCAAAATTGAGGCACTAAGGAACTCAGTGAGACTGTCTCTCTAAAATAATACAAAAAAGGGCTGAGGATGTGGCTCAGTAGTTAAGTGCCCCTGGATTCATTCTTCAGTACCAAAAAAGTAAAAAAAAATAAACTAAGTTTGAATTCTTCCACTCTCTGAGTATCGTTTGCTGCTTCTTGACTGGTCCAATTCCCACAACATTCTGGAAAGAAAGCAAATGAGGTTAAATATTAACAATTGTTGAATTTTAGAGAAGGCTCTATGGGTGTTCACTGTAAACTGTTTTGTAGGTTTCAAGTGTAAAATAAAGTTGGTATTATTATTATTATTGGAACTTGGGATTGAACCCAGGGGTGCTTTACCACTGACCTACATCTCCAGCCTTTTTTATTTTTTATTTAGAGACAGGGTCTCACTAAGTTACTTAGGGCCTTGCTAAATTGCTTAAGCTGGCTTTGAACTCCCCATGGAAGTATAAACACCCTTATTGAGGCTTGGAGCATAAGGCTAGAGATTTATGATCCTATTACCTCAGTCTCCCAAGTCGCTGGGATTATAGGTGTGCACCACTGCATCCAGCTAGTAATATCTTTAAGTTAAAAAATTGTGAAATATGTTAGTAGACTAGCAAAGACCCATCTCCCACCCATTTGAACTGTCTACAGTTCTCCTTGCCAAATAAAGATAATAAATGTTTCCTCTCTTCTCAAAGGAAAGTGATATAGATTAATTAGATAATATTTGTCTAACTACCAAGTGTTAGGAAGAACTTGACACTGGCAACACCATTTTGAAACAGCCTCCATCTTCTTGAGTCACCTCAAGGTTACTCTCGGTCTGACCTTAAACCACAGACAATAGTCTATTATCATGCAAAGAAACCCCAAACAATATTCCATCATCATACCAAGAAAGGAAAACACTTGGTTCAAGGTGGAACAGTTACCACCTCAAAAAATGGAGGTGAGGACCAAAAGGACACTTCCCTGACAGCCCCCTAGCAATGGCAGATGGGTCTCCAATAGGTCTCCTGCACAGGTTTGTCACAAATAAACCTGTTTTGCTGTTGAGCCTCTTCTGTTTCCTTCATTTGCTTCTTTTCTTACATCAAGTGTCCTTTCCAACCTAAATGTAATTTTAGCCACATGTAACATGAGATTTACAAAAAAAGAACTAAGTCTCAATGTTTCCTTTACAATCATCTTAAGAACAAAGAAAACCTCAGTTTGCTCAAGGTTTTTTTTTTTTTTTTTTTTTTTTTTTGGTAGTTGTAGATGGGCAGAATGCCTTTATTTTGTTTATTTTTATGGGATGCTAAGATTCGAACCCAGTGCCTCACACAAACTAGTCACATGTTCTGTCACTGAGCTACTGCCCTAACCCTTGCTTAAGTTTTGAATACTTGAAAAACAAAAAGTCCAATAAAACCTTGCTTTTACACACTGAATGCACAAATTGCCCAGGAAAACTTACTTGTCAGGGGTGAGTGCTCTAGGGCCTACCATGCGGTAGGAGGATTTGGAGGATTCTAGCCTCTGGGTTCTCTTCCAGATTCAGGCCTTGACTTGCTGGAATAGGTCCTACTGTTTCCTAAGAAGAAAAACAAACTTATGCACTCAAGTATTAAAAATGCATTCAGAAAAAAACTGACACATTTAAATAAAAACATAGGAACCAATCCTAAGTAGAACTTAGCCAATCCTCAGTGGAGGACTTCAGTGACCCTCCTTTTCCCTTATTGAGGTGATTAGACACGGCGTTTTGTCAGTCTCCAGTTGAGCCTCAGTTATCAATTGAAAGCCACAGGGCTAGAGTCATTGAAGACGAATTTCAGAAAATTTGTCTCCGTTTAAAACCTTTTAAATGTTCATATTCATTCCCGTTAATGGAGTAAAATCCAAACCTGCCGTGTAAAAAACACCAACATCCAGAACAAGAGATCACACGGCATATATGCGTTTCCTCACAGACGAGAACCATAAATAATTCTTGCCCGACTGTTTCTGAGAACTTGCTTTTAAAATTATAAACACTTCACTCCCTCGCCCTACCTAAGCCTGTGAGTTTTGCCTCCCCCAGAACCCGCCAAATCCCATTAAACTCCACCTCCACCTGCCACGCACAGTCCCTACAGGCTCCAGGTGCGGATTTCGCAGTCCCCCATTGGCCTACTTATAGACACTAGTTGGTGCTCCGCAAACTCCTCTGGAGTCTTCCGTGATTTCCCCGGATTCCGTAAAACCCCGCCCCTCTCCTCTTCCCTAAGGCCTACTTCGGATAAGGAACGCCCCTCCCCACCTGGCTATTTGGTTGGCCATCACGTTTGCCACTACGTCATTCACCCGCGCCACCCGGAAGCCGCTGTTCCTACCAACATCTCTTATTGCCGGCGGCCCTAAGGTAAGGGCGGCGTTTGGGTGTCCCAGGGTAAACGAGTCCCAGAGTTGGGAGGGGCAGAAGGTGGACCCCCCCCCAACATGAACCAAACGAGCCCAATCCCAACATTGAGAGGGTGGAGATAAACTATGTGTGAGGCAAAAATGAAGTGCTCAACGTGGTCTTCCCACTCCCAGGAGCCCATCATGGCGACGCCCCCTAAACGGCGGGCGTTGGAGGCCACGGGGGAGAAAGTGCTGCGCTATGAGGCCTTCATCAGTGACGTGCTGCAGCGGGACTTGAGGTGAGTGACAGCCCGGAGGCGGGACGTTTTGAACTTTCCACGTGGTGGGTGGGGCGTTCAGAGTGAGTGCCAAGCCTTCGGATTGGTGGGTGAGGCGTTGGGAGCCCGGCCCTGTCACCTTTCTAGCGGGAAGTAGGGGACGACATCCGGGGTGCGATTTGGCTGGAACTGGCGTTTGTAACTGAGACTGTATCGGCGCATGCGCGGGCTCTGATGCTATTTATTGAACTAGAGCTAAGTTTCCGGAACTAGAGTTCTTGGGTTCTCGTCCTGGCTTGCGTGTTTTGCCATCGTTGTGAACACTTCTACTTAACCTCATCTCTGTGCCTTATAAACTTTCCACATCTGTGAAATAAGGAAGTTTATGGAATCTTCTCATAGGGTGGTTTTGAGTTTCCAGTAGTTCACTGACGTGTCCTTATCGTCCCAGCTACTGGCGAGGCTAAGGCAAGAGAACCCTTTGAGCCCAGGAGTTTGAGACCACCCTGGACAACAGAGCCAGACCTCATCTCAAAAAAGAAAAATGTTGAGAGTACAAAAATAAAACAAATAGGCATTTTAAAAAAGGAATTAGTGTGGATGCCTGAAACACAGAGACTCAATGAGTATGAAGAGCTGTTATTGCTGTCATTAATTGAACAGGAAATAATGTTCAGAACTAGGATTGTATGATCATCCTAAAAGGGAGTGAAGATTTTTTTCTGGGATAATGGGCCATTTTGATTGGCAGGAAACATTGACAGTAGAGTGTGGTAATACTAGTAATAAATAATAGCTAACAAGTATATAGTACTTGCTATTTGGCAAGTGTTATTCTAAACACATTGTAATAAACAGTCATTCGATCCTAACAATTCTTACGAGGTAATACTATCATCTCTGTTTTGTAAATGGACAAACTGAGTCCCAAATGGGTTTCTTATTTGCCAAAGTTATGCAGCTAGTAAAGGATAGAGCCCAGATTCAAATCCAGGCAGTCTCACCCAGTGTTCAAAATCCTAATTTCTGAGCTAAATGCTTGTTTAGGGCATGATATGTGGTATCCCAAAAGCGAAAGAGCTTCCTATTGGTCACCATTGTATTTTCATCTTATCAGAAAGGTGCTGGATCATCGAGACAAGGTATATGAGCAGCTGGCCAAATACCTTCAACTGAGAAATGTCATTGAGCGCCTGCAGGTAAAGACTTCAGGATTGGATACCAGTTTGTGTGTTGTGGGGGAAGGAGATGGGAAGAGGGACCCCAGACCAAAACTTGTCACCTGGCCTAAAATTTGACCACTGATCCCTACCTCTTTTTCCCTGGCCCCACAGGAAGCTAAACACTCGGAGTTATATATGCAGGTGGATTTGGGCTGTAACTTCTTCGTTGACACAGTGGTGTGAGTGTGTACCCGCCCCTCTGAGCCCACAGGGTTCAGCTTACCCCTTCCTTCATGCAACAAATATGTTTTTCATATCTTCTACATACCAGACACTGTGCTAAGTTTTATATTACATAAGGATATAAGCTAGGTGTTGGGGATGTGTCAGTGAATAAAATAGGACAAGATCCCTCCCCTTCCAGAGCCTCAATTTGGGGAAGGGAGGGAATAGGAAACATCTTAAATAAACTGTGTGGTATGCTAAATAGTAATAAGTATTCCCCCCATTTCCTCTGACCTCTCTCCTCAGCCCAGATACTTCGCGCATCTACGTGGCTCTGGGTTATGGTTTTTTCTTGGAGTTAACACTCACAGAAGCCCTCAAGTTCATTGATCGTAAGAGCTCTCTCCTCACAGAGTAAGTTCATTCCAGGAGGACAATATCTAAAAGCACCACCATTGACCAGGAGTGTAATTCAGTGGTAGAACACTTGCATACCACACATAAGGCCGTGGGTTCTATCCCCAACACCACACACAAATATACATAGTAAAAATCACCATTTTCAACACTGTTCTTCCTTTTCCATGGCTTCCTGGGATGGTACTTCCTTCCTCCTCAAAGCTGAAGCTGAGAGTGGGGAATCAAAGCTCAGCCTCAGATGTAGCACATAATAAACATTCAGTAAATGGTCTTTGTATTGTTCATTCACACAGGCATTTATTGGGCATCTTCTGTATGGCAGGCTTTATGTTTGGCAGTGGGGATGCAGCAGGGAACAAGAGCAAAGAGTTCCTTAAAGGTTTACATTATAGAGAGCCTATAATATTATGCATACACATGTGCATACTTATAATTATGGTCAGATCTATAATGTCCCAGCCTGTTAATCAGTAACAGTAAAACAAGTTACCTTTCATTTTACCTTTAGCTATTTTTCCTGCTCAATTACTATACTTTTACCACATTGACCTTCACAGTCTTCTTTTAAACATCACAAGAATGATCCCAGTCTAGGGCAAATGCAATGGATGTTGTCTCTCCAGCGGTGTTCTTCCTGTGTAGCTTCCTTTCTTTTCATTCAGGCCTTCTGTAACCTGCTTTTAAACTGGCAACTTCTGGTACTCTTTATTCCTCTCCTACTTTTTCTTTTTCCTTAGTATTTATCATCTTTTTTATTTTTTTAAATATTTTTTTAGTTGTAGATGGATACAATACCTTTATCTTATTTATTTTTATGTGATACTGAGGATTGAACCCAGTGCCTCACACATGCTAGGCAAATGCTCCACCACTGAGCCACAACCCCAGCCCTATCACCTCTTTTTTAACTATGTAATTTCTTTCTATGTAATGTCTATCATCTCCTCCAGTTAGATTATAAATTTTATAAATGGAGAAATTTTGTCTATATCCCAGGTGACTAAAATAGTACACAGCGTGGCATTGTGTTTGTTGAGTGAATTTAAAAGTATACTGGAAGAAAATTGAAGTGATGATCGAAGCAGATCTCTATGGGAACTGGTAGGGAATGTGTGGGCTCCAGGTAAATTTAGGTTTTCTGCAGGGAAGAGCAACTGGAGCATGGATGAGAGGTTTCAAATGTAGGTAGAAAAGGCCCCCCCAGAGGAAGTGACATTTGAGTCATTTGGTTCAATGAACAAGCTGGGGGCTGGTTAGGAAAGAACATTCCTAACAAAGGAGACAGTGTGCCTGGCATGCTAGAGAAACTGCAAAATGGGGTAAGCATGGCTCAGATGAAATGAGTATGGGGGGCTTTGATTATTATACTTAGATTAATAACATCTTAGAAGAGTAATACTACTTGGTTTAAAATCCCTTCTTGGTTATGTTTATTCCTATATTCATTTCTTCTAGTGTTGCCTCCATTAGGGTTCAGTAATTGTTCTCTTTTCAAACTTTTCCAGGGTTTCAGTATTAGTAAACTTGGGACCTGCTGAGATTTCTAAATCTTGGTTATCAGATCAGTTAGCAAATAGCCTGACCAGGGGGCTTGCTTTCATGGTCAATGCAATTCTAAACAGTTGATCTTTTAGATGAAGTCCAGTTTTTATAACAAAGCTTTCCTTCTATGTGAGGATTCTTGAGCCTTTCAAATAGATTTTATTTTATTTTTTGGGGGGTACTGGGGATTGAACCCAGGGCCTTGTGCATGTGAGGTGAGCACTCTACCAACTGAGCTATATCACCAGCCCAGATTTTAATTTTTTGAGAATCTATGTCTGTCCCCAGAATGAGTTATTTAAATTGTCAGTGTCTGCCCCCTTGCCTGGTATTGTGTTTTGTTTTGTTTTCTGTACTGGAGATTAAACCCTAGGCCTCATTCATACTAGGCAAACATTCTGCCACTGAGCTACATCCCAAGGCCTTGGCTGGTCTTGATATATTGCCCTGGTTTATTAGTGTGATGAAAAAATGTGGTTGAAAGGCTGAGCACGGTGGTGCATGCCTGCAATTCCATTGATCAGGTAGAGTACAAGTTTGAGGCCAACCTGAACAACTGTCTCAAAATAAAAAGGACTGGGGATGTAGCTCAGTGGTAGAGCACCCCTAGGTTCAATCCCTAGTACTAGAAAAAAAACACCAAGAGAAAGAAAAGTAAAACAAGTGTGATTGACTTTCATGGTACTTTATTATGATTAGTAGACCTTTCTAAAGATTTAATCTTTCTAGAAAATGGGGATTTAAGTCTGGGTAGCCCTCCTCTTTAAAATACTTGGCTACTTGGGGCACATTTCAAACTGCCAGTTCTTCCTGATTTTATTATATTTCTTTGTTTGATGAAGGGAGAGAGGTCAGGTCACTGTACATATTCTTTCCTGATTATACTTTCATAAATAGACATGTAATTATGCAGAAACAGCATTACTTTACTACATCAGTAGTAGCAGATCAAATGTTCCTTTTGTGTACAACTAGCATTTAATGAGCTTTATATTTTTCTTCCCCCACCCTGAACCCACTACCCTTTTTTTTGGTGTTGGGGACCAAACTCAGGGTCTTACACATGCTAAACACATGCTCTACCACAGAGCCACCTAGCCATCTCCTTTATTCTTGAGTGAACTCATAGCTTTCCATAGACAAGCTTGTATCATTATCTGATTTTGTCCTCTTTTTAAAAAAAAATATTTATTTTTTAGTTTTAGGTAGATACAATATATTTTATTTTTATAAAATAAAATAGGATCAAACCTAAGTGCCTCACATGTGCTAGGCAAGCACTCTATCACTTGAGCCACAACCCCAGCCCCACGATTTTGTCCTCTTTTGAAGTTCAAATTGTCCCGAGGAGCAGATTAAGTTCATTGCTCTGTTCTTTGAGTACTACCTCAGATATTCATTTTTTTGTAGATGGATACAATATCTTTATTTTATTTGCTTATTTTTATGTGGTGCTCACACATGCCAGGCAAGCACTCTACCATTGAGCCACAACCCCAGACCTCCCTAAATATTCTTGAAAATATTCTTGCTCTCTAACCTAAACCTAAAAGCAACCATCTTTTGAGGACTTTAGGTCCTTTGAGTCAAGTAGTCTTTCACTTAATTCATTCAACATCCATTAGTTGCCTACTCTATGCCATATGCTGTTCTGATTCTCAGGAATATAGCAGGGAACACAACAGACCGAAATCATTGCCTTTGCATAGCCAGTGTTCTAGTGAAGGGAAACAGACAGTAAATAAGTAAATAACATTGCATGGTAGATGTTGCGGTGTTAGAGAAAGAGCATGTATAGAGATTGAAAACATTGCTTGTGATAGAGCAATTGTGATTTTAAATAAAATGATTTCTGGGATCTGGGTTGTGAGAAAAGAATCCTTTGGCGGGGGGTACTGGGGATTGAACTCAGGGAAGCTCAACTACTGAGCCACATCCCCAGCCCTATTTTGTAATTTTTTTTTTAAAGAGAGAGAGAATTTTTTTTTAATATTTATTTTTTAGTTTTTGGTGGACACAACATCTTTATTTTATTTTTATGTGGTGCTGAGGATCGAACCCAGTGCCCCGCGCATGCCAGGCAAGTGCACTACCGCTTGAGCCACATCCCCAGCCCCTATTTTGTATTTTATTTAAAGACAGGGCCTTGGGCTGGGGATATAACTCAGTTGGTAGAGTGCTTGCCTTGCATGCCCAAGGCCCTGGGTTTAATTCCCAGCACACAAAAAACAAAACAAAACAAAACAGGGCCTCACTGAGTTTCTTAGCGCTTTGCCATTGTGAGGCTGACTTTGAACTTGTGATCTTCCTGCTTCAGCCTCCTGAGTGACTGCAATTGCAAGTGTGTGCCTCTGTGCCCAGCAAAAAGAGGAATCTTGGGGCTGGGGATGTAGCTCAGTGGTAGAGTGCTTGCCTAGTATGCAGAAGCCCTAGGTTAAACCCATCACCGAAAAGGGGAAGGGGAGGAGAATCTACATTTTTGCTGAGCACCTGGAAGGATGGAGTTGCCATTACCTGAGATGGAGAAGACAGGAAGAGCAGATTGGGAGGGCTAGGTCAGGAGTTCTGTATAGGACTTGGGATGTATGTGGTGTTTATTAAACACTGGAGTTTTTTGAAGTAGTTAAAACTCCCAGGTCAAGTTCAGGAGAGAAGTCTGGGCTGGCAATATAAATTTGGGAGATACAGGTATATAGTTGGATTCATACTATTTTTTCCAACTTAACACCCTATCTTGCTGCTCTCTGTTTTTTGCACAGAATATAGTTTCATTTATCTTTCAAACCGACTTCTATATTGACAGGTAGCTCAGCACAATAAAACCTGCATTCCTTGTGCTATCATGATCCAGTGTGATCTAGTCTGTTCTTACCTCTTGGACCTTATCTTACTCTACCTCCCTTCATCATTCACTTTATTTTTAACACTGACCTCCTGGCTCCTCCTCAAAAGGCTCTTTCCTGCTTCTTGGCCTTTCTGTGGAAGAGACCCTCTTACTACTTAATTCTTACTCCATCTAACTCATTCTCATTCTTCAGAAGCTGTTCCTTGACCCTTTGTATCCACTAGGATTCTTTTAGATGAGACCTGATCCAAACTGGCTTAGACAAAAAGAATTGACTAGTTTATATAACTCAACAGCCCAGGGCTAGGGTGGTTTTAGGCAACTCCAGCTTCTTAGTTGCTTAAGCCATGACCCCTTTCTCACATCTGACATCCAACACTTTGGCAAACTGCTTCGACCATCAAAATATATCCAAATACAATCATTTCTCATGACCTGCTGCTACTATTACTAGATCCCCCATCTCTCAACTGGAATAAACATACACACACACACACTTTTTTCCCTGTGGTACTGGAGATTGAACCCAGGGCCTCACATGTGCTAGGCAAGTGCTCTACCACAGAGCAACATCCCTAGCCCTTTTTTAAAAAATTTTGAGACAGGGTCTGGATAAGTTGCCCAGGCTTGCCTCAAACCTGTGATCCTCCTGCCTCAGTTTCCTGAGTAGCTGGGATTACAGGCAAGTACCACCATGCCCCATTTCAACTGGGCTAATGCAGTATCCTCCTCACTGGATTTCCTACTTCCATGTTAATTCTCTTTATCCTCAGTCACTTAGCTCAGCAGCCAGATGGAGCCTCTTAAACTCCAGTTAGTCTGCCTCCCTCTTCTGTTCAATCCTCCATGGTACCCATATCACTTAGCATCAGGTCTTTACCATGGCCTTGTAAGCTTTATAGAACTTGCATCCCTCATTTTCTTACCTCTAACAATCTTATTTGGCTTACTCTTTTCCAGTGCCTATGGCCCCCTGCAATACCTCAAACATATCAGTCACACTTCACCATAGTGCCTTCATAATGGCCATTGAGTCTGTGGAACACTTATCCTCTATGAAGCCACACTATTCACTTCTTCACTTACTTTATGCTTTACTCAAATGCTTCTCAGTGAAGCCATCCCTGAGTATTCTGGGATGTTTAAAATTGCAGGCCCCATCCCCTATTTCTTATCATCCCTCTCCCTCATTGTTTAAGTTTTTTCCTTGTACTTAAACCATCTGACATACCATATATATTTTATTCTATCATTTATTGTCTATCCCTTCTTAGCAAGAATTTGAGCTCCCTGAGCCCAGGATTTTTGTTCATTGTGTTTGCATCATCTCCCCAGTGCTTAAAACTGCTTGGCATGCAGTAGGTATTAAGTAGTCTTTGAAACAGTAAAGTCCAGACACAGCCAACCAAATCTCCATAGGAGCAGGTGGAGCAAAAGTTAACCAGGATGTAGATAGTTCTTGATACAATGAGGAATGTTTATCCTCATAATGATAAGTAGGGCCCAATTTGCCCTTTCTTGTTTGTTTTCTCCAGGCTCAGCAACAGCCTCACCAAGGACTCCATGAATATCAAGGCCCATATCCACATGTTGCTAGAGGTGAGAGCAGCTCACTCCACTCCCAGACTATCCCCAGATTTATTTTGAGTGGTGACCTAAAGAAGGCAAGGAGCATCTTTCCCTCTAAACTGGAGCCAAGGGAGAGGAAGTCAGAGCAAAGGTGGGGTGGGACCTGAACCCAGCCCCTGTTCAGTCTCTTCTGTCCTCTTTTGCAGGGACTTAGAGAACTACAAGGCCTGCAGAATTTCCCAGAGACTCCTCGCCAATGACTACTTCTCTCCATCCTCCAACATTAAAGAGCCTGAATGCCTTTGAGTCACATGGCCCTTCTTTTTCCCTTAACCCCTGCTGGTTGCCAAGGTGACCTTTGTGTAGAGCACTAAGTTACTGGGAGACCCAGTGGTCCAGTTTCAGTGTGAAACCTCTAAAGCACCCTGAAAGTCCTGCTGTAGTATTTGCCACTTGATTCTGTGCTCTTCCCTCCTTTCTCAGCTTGGTAACCTGGACCCTCCCCTCACCCTTCATTCCTTTTCCAGGGCACCACCCTTTGAACTGCCATAGAGAATGGGCCTATTCAGCCTCTTCCTCCTTGTCCTAAGGTTTATCCTTCTCCTGTACCCCAGCAGTTCCTCCAGTACCCTAAATAACACCCCGTGCCCTTCTTAGCTCAACCTTGGCCTCACCCCTGCTTCTAAATGGATCCAGCTCCACCAATAGGCACAGATCCCACCCTCCTTAGTCCAGCCCCTAATCTAGGTTAGGTCCAGCTAACCCCCCCCCCCCCCCCATCAACCAAGAGCCAGGTTCCACCCTCTTATAAATCTGGACATGACTGGAGCCTGCCCTCCTGGTAGCCGTTTAATTTCTGCCACTCAAGGACCCTTTGCATGTCTGGCAGCTCTCCCGCCTTCCTACCTCTGCTGCGTTCTAAATACGACTTTTCTAGCCAATCCCTGTAGAGTTACCCTGCCCGCCTACGCAGAGCCAGACCCAACCCTCTCTTTGCTGGCTTCTACGCCCGTTTCTATATAAGTCCTGCTTCCGCTGAGCGGCGTGGCGTGCAGCGCCGCCTGTTCGGTGTTTTGGCAGCTGTCTAGGAGTCTCATCCGCCAATCAGCTGAATATCAGACCCACCCACTTTAGGCTGTCTGCCATCTATCCCCTTTAGGCCAATCAACGTGAGGCTGGCTCCCATGAGTCTTGTCAATTGCCCATGATCTATCAGTCTTGAGCCAATCAGCACGAAGTACCAGCGAGGCCAAACGCGTCTTCTCCGAACTCAAACGGCAGTCTGCTGTCAATCATTGGCTTTTCAGCCAATCACAGCATAGACTTCTGAGGCAGAGCCCGCCTCTCCAAGCAAAGAAGCTGTGCAGTAAAGCCGTGGCTCTTTGGCCAATCAGCGAGCGGCGGGACGCTTGTCTCCTCCCCCATGGGCCCACGTGAGCCGTGGGGAAAGGCAGGGGCGGCTTCTAGGTGCTGCCGCCACCGCCGCTGCCGCCGCCGCCGCCGCCGCCGCCGCCTCAGATCCCGGGCCTGGGGGGCGGTGGGGCCGCGTATGGAGCCCCCGCCCCCCGGAGCTGCTAACAACGCCGCCGCACCACGCACAGGTGAGCCCTGGGCCTGGAGGGTGGAGGGCCCAGTCCGTGACCCCACGTATCCTTCCCGCCCCCGCGCGGAGGATGTGGCTTGGCCGGTGGCCTGCTGGTGTTCGACTCCCTACCACCAAGGCTGGTGGACCTATGTGTGGCATTGCCCCCTTATAGTGGATCTGACTGTGGCCTAGACGCCCTCTCCTGCTAGTATAATGGCTCAGTCTGCGTGCTTATGTTTCTCCCCATCCCAACTTACAGTGGACTCGTCCATGGTCTTACCTCCCCACCACCCCCCCACTTACTGGGAACCAGTCTGTGGCTTGTTGAACCCCCTTAATAGTAGATGGCGTCTAAGTGTATTTCTCTTAGCCTTAACTTTTCAGGGGTCCTGTCTGTGGCCCTGTTTATTCCATCTCTCCTGTCCTTGAAGCAAATCAGTCCCTGGTGCCATACCCCTTGCACACACACCCCTCTTTCCATCTGACCTTATATTCCTGCTTCCTCCAACCCCCAGTGCATCAGTCCATGGCTTTATCCAAATCCCTAATTTTATAGTGGATCAGTCTGTATGCTTATATTCACATCTCCCTAGTTATCAGACCATTGCCCTAACTATCAGTCTATTGCTCCTCCTTTATTTGTAGACTCTAGTTATTGGGCTTCTCTCTTCTTTTTAATAGTGGATCAGTAGCCCAGTCTATGCCCTGTCCGTTTCTCCTTTTAACCACTGTGTGATGTCTTTTCCTTTCCTCCACTGTTGTATAGGAGTCAGTGAACTTTTCTGTTTCCTTCCTTCCCAAAAGATTAACCACGTCCCCCTCCCTTTGTAGTGAATCTGTTCATTGGGTTTCCTGTAAACCCTGTGTTTTCATTCACACAAACTCTCCATATCTTCCCAGTTCTTTTAATTTCTCCTTCAAGAGGGTCAGCCTGTAGATTTTTATTTCTCTTCTCATTCCTTGTGCTGGATCAGTCTGTGATCCTCCCTGTCCTTTACCTCTTAGTAGATAAGCCTGAGTACTTGTTGAACCCAGAGCTTTTTAGTGTACATTGCACTCCCTCATAGACACTGTTAACCACCAAGACATCCTTCCTCACTGTGGATACATTAGTGATACTGATGATAATGCCAATAGGAGCTTAATGTTCATTGAGTACCTGGTATGTACCAGGCAAAGTGCTTTATATTCACAAACTCATTCAATCCTCATCACTACCCTGTGAGATAGGTACTGAGAAAACTGGAACACAGAGAGGTTAAGTACCTTACTCAAAAGTATTTCAGGGGCTGTGGTTGTGGCTCAGTGGTAGAGTGCTTGCCTAGCACTGGGTTTGATCCTCAGAACCACATAAAAATAAATAAAATAAAGTACGTCCATCTACAATTAAAATATTTTTTAAAGGTGTTCCAGTAAGTACTCAGGGTACAGGATGTAGTTTGAGGTTCCCCTCTCATCTAATCCCATCCCACAAGAAGCCCCACATTAGTTTCCATCTCCATGTTTTTGTTTTCACTGTTCCCTGTGCCCTCAGAGCTGTTTCTGTTTCACACCTGGTCTCAGCACCCACCCACCCCCAATACCAGCAACAGTGTGACCTTAGATAAATGACTTAACCACTTTCTCCTTGCACCTGTTTCCTTATTTCTAAAATAGGAGAGTCATGTAAAGAAAGAATACCTGTTCTGGGCATGGTGGCACATGCCTGTAATCCCAGTGGCCCAGGAGGCTGAGGCAGGAAGATTGCCAGTTCAAAAAGCCAGCCTCAGCAATTTAGGAAGGCCCTCAGCCACTTAGTAAGATCCTGTCTCAAAATAAAAAATAAAATAAAGGACTGGGGATGTGGCTTAGTGATTAAGTGACCTGGGTTGAATCCCTAGTACAAAAAAAAAAAAAAAACAAAGAAGCCCGGTGCACACACCTGTAATCCCACTGGCTCCGGAGACTGAGGCAGGAGGATTTCAAGTTCAAAGCCAGCCTCATCAACAGTAAGGTGCTAAGCAATTCAGTGAAATCTGTCTCTAAATAAAATAAAAATAGGGCTGGGGGTGTGGCTCGGTTGTTGAATGCCTCTGGGTTCCATCCCTGGCACCCCCCCCCCCCCCAAAAAAAAAGAATACCTGTGAGTTACTAAAACAAGTCACCTCTTCAGCTTTGCCCCCATCACCTCCCTGTCCTGTAACTGCACCAGCCATGTATGCTTCCCCGTCACTGTTCCTTAAACCAGCAGGAACAATTAGCCTCAGGACCTTTGCATTGGCTGTTCTTTCTGCCCCAACACATTTGCATCCAGGGTGATGTTCTGTTGCCAACCCCGAAAGAATGTGTTCACCACACTGTGGTGCAGGGAACATACTATGTAAAGACACACGTATGATATTTCCACGAATATCAGTTGATTTGTGAATAAGGCAAATGTTATTTTATCAAAAGCATGTGTTCACAGAAGTGTATGTAATATCCTTTATAAAGGCACAGATAGAAAAGATGTTTCTAAGAGACTTCATTTCATTGCATCTGGGTAGTGTTATTTCAGTAAAGCATGTGTTTGTCACACTGTGGTGCTTGAAATACACTATATAAAGGCACACATATAAAAAATGTTTCTAAGCATGCTGTTTATGTAAAAATAAAGTGAACATCTCCCTGACCATCTGATCCTTCACACCCAGCAGGACTGTGGCCCCTGCCCTGCTTTGTTTGTCCCTTTGCCCTCTATCACTGTCTGACATACTGCAGTTTGTATATTGTCTATCCTCGTTAGAATGGGAGTCCCGTGAGGACTTAGAGGTTTTATTTGCTTATTCACTACTCTGTCTTCCACACTTAAAAAATGTACCTGGTATACAGTAGGTACTCAAGATAGATTTGTTACGTGAATAAATAGGGAAATATTTTCATTCGGACATCAGCATGTGGAGCAGATGGAGAAGAAAGGATATGTAGCTAATTAAAATGTTAGTTAAAGCCAGGGAACCAGGCATGGTGGTGCACGCCTATAATCCCAGCTACATGCCTGTAATCTCAGTAATTTGGGAGGTCGAGGCAAGAGGATCACAAAGTCAAGGTCAGCCTGGACGACTTAGTGAGACCATGTCTCAAAACAAAATTCTTAAAAAGGGCTGGGAATATAGCTCATTGGGAGACTGAGGATATAGCTCAGTGATAGTGTGTTTGCCTAACATGTGCAAGGCCCTGGGTTCAATCTCCAATCCACACATACACAAACACACACACACACACACTAAAGTTGGGGACTGTTCAAATATTTACTGAGCACCTGGTACTGAATACCAGGCATTCTTCCAAGTGCTTGAGATGTGGGGGGAACAAAATAGGCAGAAATTCCTGTCCTTTTTGAACATTTATTATTAAAAGAGAGGGAGCCAGATTATGTAAACAAAATAAGTAAAAATGAGATAGTATGTTAAACAGGTGCTAAGTAGAAAAATTATGGCAGATAGGAATAGAGTATTGAAATGGTTGAAATCTTTGGTACAGGGCAAGGCCACACTTGGAAAGATAAATGTTGAATTGAGGCCTGAAAGAAATTAGGGAGGGAACCATATCAGGGAAATTAGGGAAGAGCCATTGCAAAAGCTCTGAGGTGGAATTTTGCCTGCCATATAGAAAGAACATCAAGGAAGCCATTATGGCTGTAGAAGAGTGGGGGGAGGAATAGAAGCTGAAGTCACAGAGGTGAGGGCAGCCAGATGGTCTG